CCCCGCCCCCACTCCCCCAAAGCCCCAATACCACCATGGTGCCAAGCTTCAGAATCAAATAAAAAAAGAAAAAAATCCCCCTGCGGGTTTCTCTTATGCATCCACCTTGCAGCATGAGAATATGTATCTTCTTAACTTGTATCTTTCAGTGCATTCCTATTAATTTGAACTACTGAGCTGAATAGAAATTTGGATGATTGTGAAATATGGGAGTACACTGCAGAAGAAAAAACCAGATTCACTCACACATATCTTACAGATCATCTTACAAGTTAAGTAATAGCACAATAAAGACACCTAACATTAAAGCATGGTTAAAACTGCACAGTTATTTGAATATAGGTTATGTATATAGATGCTTAAAACAAATATAAAACCATGAAGAATGCAAATTCAGATATATGAAATGAGAAAGTTATTAAACGTTATGAGCAGAGGTTTCCATGAAGAGAGGAGGCTGGGAACGCTCATGAAGTGAAGAACATCAAGGGCTAAGATGATAATGGAAGCTCAGGAGCACCGAAGACCAGGAGAAACAAGAAAAATCTAGCTATGTTCTTTTTTCTACCACCTGAGATATCATCAGAAATATTCTGTTTATAGCTATAACATCTCCTGAGACACATATCATTCTCCTGTGTCACCTCTGCTACTTTCTTAAGCTAAAGTGTCTTTGCAATCATAGTGCCTGTGGTGAAATTTTAGATATGTGAACAAATTCCTTGGATTAGTGGGTAACAAATTATCTGGCATAAACAGACACAAACCCCAAACTCTACAGAATTAAAAACTAACTGATTTCTCTGTGAAAGAACACAAACAGAAACTTTGGATATTTAACAGTAAGGTAGAATGGAATCTAAAAATTGCTCAACTCTGAAATGGAGTTCATGCTGTTTAGCAAAAGAAATTCCCAGGGTAAGCTAACCTAATCAACTTTGCAGAAAACTAGATGATCTAAAGTATTTCTTCTTACCCTCATGACTTCTTTCTTAAATCAGAAGCCTTTACACATACGTGCATTCACATGTATGTATACACACACAGAGGCCAGCTCAAAAATTGCAAAGCAAAATTTAAAAGGAACAACACTGTAATAAACAATTCCATCGAGATTTCACAGACAGTGTGTATCGATTTAAGGACCTCCAATGTTTTACTGGTAGAACAGAGGAAGTCCCTTCAGGAGGCATTAGGTCTAAAAGGTAACAACCTAACTTTTGAAGAGGGCAGTACATTTGCTATAAATGAAATACTAAATAAATAATGATCCAGTATATATTCTTATGCTACAAGATGTGTAAGATTAGGAAGAAGAAAAAAAGAGAGAAGTAACTTAATGCTGCCACATAAGAAGGACCAAATTGCTCTTCTCTACAAAATAAACCTTAAAAATGACAATAAAAAGGTTACTTACATTGTGCATAAGAGAAGCCTTTTTTTCTGGAGTTATAATAGATGTAACAGTTTTATAATCTGTGGGCAGCTGAACATACATGGTAGGGAAATCCGTTTTACCACGTCTTGCCGTACCCTTGAAGGAATCAAGCAGTATCAAAAAATAGCTCTAACCAAAATGATCCTGAACCATGCGCTTCTTATAATGATATTACACATAATGATATGAATTTATGCAAGTCCATTATGAAGTTAGTGTTATATTAAAAAATATACACTATTAATGTAATTTTTTACTGCAAGTATACAGTGAAGGGTGTTAACAGCCTTACCACCAAAATAATTTATTTTTATTATAATTTATAATCAAAACTGTTAACCCCTAACCCAAGTACTGAATAATATTTGTAAAAAACCTGAACCCTGTAACACAACCCACATATGATTCTACTTATTTGAACACCAAAACAATACATATACATAAGATATTACCACTGCAAGCAGATTTTTTTCCAGCTTAAAGGTCAACTGTGTATGAAACTTTCCTCCCATGATACTCATGATCTCCTGGAGTGTGTAAACCTCAGGGTACTTTTGCACATGTCCAATACAAGAATGTAATAATTCCTAACAGAAAAATTAAAAAGAGTTTATGCATTTGTATATTTCATAAGAATTTAATTTTAAAAAGTTTTTTCTGCAGCTGCATGTTGCATTTGCATATACTTTTGTAGAGATTACAGATGTGTTTATCAGATTACTGCTAACAGACTTGTTGAACTCTTTCAGTTAGGGACAGTATTTAAAAAAACTTAAGAAGTACCAGTATAACTAAATGATCTTACAATCGTTGGTATCAGAACTCAAACCTATTCTGAATTCTCTGCAACCCTTCATATGGAAGGCTAACAATGCTCACAGGCTCAGACCAATCATAAAAAAGTTTAGTGCAGTTTGAAATGTACTAAACCAAGCAATTATTTTTTTCTTTTCAGTTTATTTATCATGGCTTTTAGAGGGACTAGTGTTTTTTTTGTGTTACCACCTAATTTACACAGGGCCTGTGTAAAAGTCACACAGGTAAAGACAGGAATATTCTATATGTGTAGAAACTTGCTTTATGCCAACTCTAGATCCTACGATAAATACATAATTCAGATATCAGAAACAATTAAGACATTTAAGTTTCATTTGGTAACTAAATTAGTTATTTCCGTAAGTACTGTTTAAAACTAATATGTGCCTCCATTTCATTTTTAACTTAGGATACCAATTTAAGTAGGACTTCAAGTTTGAAGACATGTTCTGGGACCAGACGACCAGATCACTTAGAAAAACAGACACAAATGTAAGATATAAAATTACAAAGCAAATCCCACTTTTTAGGAAAAAAAGCAACATTTCTGCCCTCACGTGTGCCCAAACTATGTGTTAATGCAGGAACAAATTTATCTTAGTTATGGTGTGTTAGTGTTACCGTGAAATAGAAGACATCCTTCTGAATTTACCTAAATGCTCTACTCTCTAGTAAACATTTATTTTCCTGTTTTATTCTGTAAAAGACAGCACTCACTAGAAAAGGCTGAACTTTTAACAAAAAGTATATAAAATAAGACATTGCAGTTAAGTCAAGATGCTATGAGATAAACAAGCACGAGCAAGTCAACGTACTGAAGGGAAAGTTTAACGAACCTGTACTTGAGAACTTTTTTCCCAAAATGTGCTACTAAAACAAGAATCATATATAAAGTTGCATTCATCTTTGATTTTAGAATCATCAAAGTGGGTATTTAACACAGCAGGAACTTGCAAATGATTATGATTAAAGCCTGAGTAAACTCTGATTAAAGTAACTCTGTAACATGCTACTGTGGAGGAAAGCTGAACACTCTGTTCAGTAGTGTGTATTTAGGAGCAGCTTGTTAATGTAAATGCACACTTAAAATGCAATTTCTCCCTTCCCAAATATAAAGATGTAATTTACTTAATTGTGGACTACACCTTTGTACAGTATAGTATTCAGGGACCTCCCTTACATCATATCATACTGGCTATGATAAACTGTGGGCCAAGCCATGCTGCACAGCAATGTCTCATGTCTCCCAACACGGAATCAGCATAAAGTCAGGGAGCATCAGACCTCATAAGCAGTGCCTACAGATCTTAATCACGATTCCAATTTAATTATTTAAGAAGAGAAGGAATTAAACAGTATTGGTAATTACCTCAGTATAACGTAGCGCATCTTCAGAGATGGCATCATAATCTTGGGCACAGCTTTTTGCAGCATTTTGGGCAAATTTCATAAATTCTGCAATTTCATTGTTTACTACTTCTTTCATTTGCTGGTGGGGAAGGAAAAAAATCTATTTTTTAAGATAGAATGGAATCCTGTAGGTTAGGTATGTAATCAGCAAAATTTCCAGAGAGGTAGCACAAGCAATAGTATGAAAGAGGTCAGAGATTCCACTTGCTGCACAATTTGGCAAGTCTTTGCACATGTTCAGAGTTTCACTTAAGTAAAAAATTTTTTTGCAAGGCCCATTTCCTTTAAAAAAACATAATCCCCAAACAACAAAACAACCCCCTCCCGACAAACAGCAAACTTCTTTTGATCATACACTGGTGGTTTATGATCATAACATGTCTATGATCACATAAACATTTGGTGATTAATTACATTATACAGGATTCAACTAAAATGGCACTTCTAACCAAGGTGAGACATGGCCTTTCACTTTTTAAACAACATTGCTGAGACTAAAGGCAAGTGTGAAGCATAGAAGGTCAACACACATGTCCCTCACATGCTAACAAAGTTTCCATTACAGGGTGCTGCGGCGAGCGGAGGAAGCAAGCAACCGATTCAATGTGAATGATAGAGCAAGCTTCAACTTTATTGAAAGAAATCACACCTTATATAAGCAGTCTACAATACACTACTTGCAACTCTATTGGATACATTCAAGAAACTACATTATAATATCTCAGCCATTGGGTACATTTAAAAGATCACATTATAATACCCCAGCCCCCTGTGGCATTTCTGGTATGCATAAACATCTTTATTCCTGTGAACCTGCTTCTCTCCCAGGGCTGCTTTCCTCTGACCCCCAAGGTCATAATACGCCCCAACTTATCTCCTTGTTCTCACAACAGTCCTCGCTAGCACAACTGAGCCCTGGATCTCCATCCTTGTTTACATAACTGTACCCTGGGTTCTTTCCTTTGTTTACCTCAGGTGGCTGGGACCGACTTCTGCAGGGAGCTATGGCCGACCAGCTCCTGCAGGGAGCTATGGCCTTGCTTCAAAACGTATCTACCTCCTAACATTGTAACAAGACTGCTACATGCCATTATGAAATGCTAAAATCACAGTAAAGTCAACTCTTAAACTTCCTTCTCATAAAAAAATGGGGGGTTTTGTGGGCGTGGGTGGGTGCCTGATCAGCTATCAAAGATCTACACTTACTGTCAGTTGTTCAGACTACTACTAAAAACCAAATCAAAATTTCCACAAAAAACCACACCTACTGTAATGAAATAACTAAATACTTTATATTAAAAATTTTATCCTGACTATTTTAAACCTTTATTACCATTCATAATACTATGTTAAAAGGCAGTTATGACAAATTGAATTTCAAAGCTTTTTTGCTACATTTTTCTTAACTCTTTGTAACAACAAAATTGTACAACTCCCTCTGTGATGTTCATATGTACATACATGGACACTTACGAGATAGGTGAGTAATTCTCTTTGACTTGATGCATTAACTTGAAAATGGTGGGGGTTTTTTGAGTACTTAGTCATCAGATATAAGTATGTCTTCTGCTCCTTCTCAGTCAAAGAGGAGGTAAATGGATAGGGGACTCTAGGTTCTGGAAAAGGATGATCGTCAGTTGTGCTTTTAGCCTCCACCTCAACTGGATCTGCAGCCTGGACGCTACAAGTCTGTCTGTTTTCTGAAGAGTTTGACAATGCCTCCACATTTTTCTTTGCCTCTCTGAAAGAAAAGTAATAAATAGAAGAACTTATACTTTTCACATAAATATTAATGTTTTTCAGAATTAGTAAAGGCAGTCATGCAAGCCTAAACTTCAAACCCAGCAAAATGCACTGTGAGCTATCGTACTCTTCCAATTCGTAGTCTATGTCATAGGAATTTGCTTATTCTGAAACTCCACCTGGACAATCACACTACTCTTGGTATCAACAGTAGGTTTGCCACTGGTTTAAAGATGAAAACCAAAAAACCCACTTTAAAAAAAAAAACAACACAACAAAATGGTGTATCCATTAGTCAGTACACTCAATTTTGAGGTGACAAGCTAAATATAAAACTGATTCTTTGTTCTGGAAACACCCATTACCAGTGAAAAGATGAAGAGTCTCAACATTATGTTATTCTTTGATAGCTGGTGTTCAGGAACAGCTTGCACTCAGAAAGGCCTAACTTATCAGTCAAAGTTATGACCATAAAGGAGAAAGACTTAACTAGAAAAAGCCTTTCACTGTAAAAGAAGTAAATTAAAACTACTTACTTGTAATAATAGAAATTCTGGATTTCAATTAAGAAATTCCTAAAACCAGAGTTTCATTTTCCACTCTAAACAACACTGAAATCAGTTCCCAAAAATAATGTTGGGTTAAGGCAAGGGGCGTAGCTGGCCTAACAACAAGAAAGAAGTAACATTATCGAGCTGATTCTTAAAACATCTCCAGTATACGAAGGCCATCTTAGCCCTGCTCTATTTAAAATAACTGTTCCTAAGAGAGAAAATATTTAAGGTTAACAAAATGAACATTAACTGCTGATCTCGGAAAAAACCATATTTTTAAGATACGATTTCAGCAATAGGAAATATCCTAAGTGTTATTCAAACCAAGCAGTATCACATCCACAGTTCTTAATAATACTTCACAGCTGTCTCTCTGAATATGAGAATGTGTCCATCCTCATGGCACAAACTGGCAAATTTAATTAAGCTGCAGCAGCGACAAGATGCTGACTCAGATATGCCAATGTAGGAACATCAAGAAATTCTAGCAGCTTAAATTGGCTATATTCAGCACTGAACGAAATGGCAGCACATCAAGATCATTTCAGTATGCAGTGCTGTCACAGTCTTCATCAGGGTGCAAACCAAAATAATCTGACGGAGCTTTTCTGTCCATATTTACAGCATTATACTTTATTTGAGCTGACGGCTTAAATTTTTCCCCTTCATTCTATCAGCAACCTGCCTTCACAGCTTCTATGGTGAGTGAACATACGCTTTAGTAAATATCTACCAGAAACTCCAATATAAAAATTGACAAATTTTTTCTAGCTTTTACTTTCAGACTTGCCCTAACAGGTTCCATTTCTCTCTCTCTTGACTATGGTCACACAACACAGTTCCACAAATTTCTGAATTTTTCTTGTTGCAAACTCTCTTCTGGCTATAAACCCACTTCTACCATACACAACTGAATACAATCCCACTTCTGAGTGCAGTCATGTCTACTCTTTTTCTGCATCATCTAAGAGAAGAATCCTCCAGTAACACCCAGTGTACCCAGTAGCAAGCTGTGAGGGCTCTGCTCATCTCTGTCAGTTCAAGGAAAGTTGCTCCTTTCCTTGATGAACCAGAAAAGCCTTCTCTAACTAACCAAGTGGGATATAAACAGTCATGTGATGTAGACAAGTATTTCCCTCAAACACGTTCTCAGTGTCATTTCATAAAAATACCGTAACTTCCCTATAGAACAAATTCTCTCTCCACATGCTGAACTCATCACTTAAGAGCACAGTAGCTACCTTGGTCTCCCACACACATTCTTTGTGGCATGAATGCTCATCCACTGTGGGACACTTGCCACTTGTACCTTGCTACCAGCTTAACGATGTCTTAAAACCCCCCCAATAGCCTAAATACAGTCCTCCAGTTTCTGAAATCCAGCAGCATAAGCCATGCTTTTCACTATGAGAAAAAAATGTTGATTCTACTTGAATTTGAGAAAATAAAAATATCAAAAATTGCACAAACAATACTACCTATACCATCTCTGTTCACATAATTTCATTTCCCATTCTTCAGCTAACACTCTATAAAGTTTCTTCTTTACTCAAGGAATTAATTGCATCTCCACTGCACCCAAGACCCTGTTGGACCTATGTAAACAGTGTCAGCTACTTCCAAACGATACAAGTAAAAAGGATTTCACTGTACACTATTGTCAGCCTTCTACAAAGCGAGAAGAGATGGACAGACAGCAAGACATTGATTTCAAAAAAAGAATTAGGTCTATATCTCACGGGTTACAGGATCCTTACTGTGATCAGTTAAGAGCGTGGGTCAAACTTCATCCCTCTTTGGTACATGAGAGAAAGGAAAAATCAACAAGCATCAAAGCCCACCCCACTCCCCAAAAGACACAAAAGATCAGAGGTCCCAACCAAGACTCTTGTGTTTTCTCTGTTTTACAACAGGTAAAGCACAGGCCAACTGCTGGACCAAGGGGTCAGTAACAAATCCTTGCACACCAGGTAACATGCAGCTTTCCACCAAAACAGTAAGGATATGTATCAACAGGATGATGACGAACAGCATGAAAGTGTAATATAACAGAATATACCTGTTTGATAAATGCCATAGTTCAGATAGACTGGGAGCCAACGAATATTTTTCATAAATTCCATGTGAGAAAAATACTTCACTGCCATTTTTTGGTAAGATATCCCTGATAATTAAAAAAAACACAGAACATTACAATACACAAGTAAAGGCCGCATCTACCTCTGAGAAACAACTAACAAAACTATTTGTTTAAAAAAGTTTATATACAGTGTTTCCCCATTCTCTCTTTACAGAAGCTACATATATGCTATCCAAGACCTTACTAGTTTTCAGTAGTAAAATACATGGGTTTTTCACAGTTCAAAAAGAACAATTTCATTAGTACAAGATATAAATGCTAGATAAGGTGAGTGAAATTCTGATGCAGTTACACACTTTCAGATGTTCATTAACCAAAACCAAACATTGGGTTGAACCTGATGGAATTTTGAGAGCAATACAATAATTTTGTTTTGAATTTTTCAGAAAATAGGTATTTTGTCTATTTTTTTTGGTCTTCACTTTTTTTGTTTTTTTTAAACATAGCTCTGCTGGTGTACAGGGTTTACACAGTGCCAGTCTTCCCAAACTATTTTGAAAGGCATGAGGAAATACTTATTTCTGTCTTTCTCACGAATAAACTAATTCAAAACCAACTCACCTCTCTACCCTTACAAAGCCGAATTACTTCTTTGTAAGACTTTTCGTGTTAAAAACAAGAACCATGTCACCACCCCAAATCCATATCGTGGATGCGCATTACTGGTCCTCATTTCCGAACACACACGAACACCCAGGCTCTTCAGGCAAAGCACACTCACTCCTCCCTTCCACCACTGAGAGAACGACAGAAAACAGCGCCACCCCCCGCCCCAGAAAAATAAGTTCATTCAAACACGGAGTGCCCCATGAAGAAATACAGCCCGGAGGGATCGTGCTTTCAGAAAGCTTGAGAAACACTGACTTACAGGAAAACAAGTATACAAAGGACATATGAACACCGAAAACATGCAGATGTTAACAAAAAGGTGTGATGTTACACATCAAGTTCAACAACTTGATTGTGAAGTTCAGCTTGAAGAAGTAAGGAGATTATGAGGGAAGACACACAAATGAGTATTGTGGCAGAAGAAATGAACCTATGAGTATTGATCTGAAGCCTTTATCATGTTTTGTTTCTTATTTGGATAGCCTACTTATTGCTATAAAGTTATTGCTATATTCTACCAATGATAAAGGCAAAAAAAAAAAAAAAA